GTGGAGTTCCTGACTTGGCTTCTCTCGATGATGAACTGTGAGCTATAAGACAAACTCTTCCTTCCTGGTTGGTGGCACTGTTGGGGAAGTTGTGGGACCTTTAGGAGATGCCGCACTGCTGGAGGAAGCACAGCTTTGAAAGTTGACAGTCCCACCCCATTCCCTGCTTTCTATGTGCAGTTGAGATGTGAGCTCTCAGCTTCCTCTCCAGCTGCCTGCTGCCGTGCCTTTCCCACCATTATGAACTTTGCTTCTGGAACAGTAAGCCAGAATAAACTCTTTCTTCTGTAAGTTGTTTTTCATCATGGTGTTTATCACAGAAACAGAAAAGCAACTAATAGGGCACCACAAACTGTTCTGCCTAAATTACAAGGCAGTGTCACAGGCATGCCGTTCGGGCTGCCTGGCTGCCATGTTATATTTCTTTAGTCAGCCCACTCTCCTAACTAGTAGAAACAAACCCACAACTTCCTCTCCTCAGTCTGCCATCACTCACACCTTCTCTGAGCAAGCTTGCTTTTCATAGCTCAGAGAAAATTGAAACAATCCAAAGAGCAGTTTTGGTGCTCTCACAAATACATTCATAAACCTGCCAGCATTTTCAAACAAATGCTCCATATTCCCCTGTTACTAACGATGGATTTTCCATTTCCTACCGAAAATGGTTATGGGTTGAATCGTGTACTGAAAAAATTCATATGTTAAAGTCTGAACCTGCAACTCCTCAGTATGTGACCCCACATGGCATTATGGTTGTTGCAGATAGAAATAGTTAAAATGAGATCACAGTGGAGTAGGGTGGGCCCATAATTCAATATGACTGGTCCTTCCAGAAGGGGAGATATATTCACAGACAGGCACTTGGGGAGAATGACATTTGAAGATGAAAGCTCATAGCCCTCAAAAGCTAGGGAAGAAGCATGGCTCTTCCTCGGGGCTCTGGAGAGGAGCCAGCCCTACTGCAAGCTCAATCTGGACCTCTGGCCTCCAGAACCTGCGACAGTGGACTTTTGCCATTTAAACTACTCGGTGTGTTGTTCTTTGTTATGGCAGCTTAGCAGCACCTACAGAAGCCAACCCCTCAGTCACCAGGAGAGACTAGACCTCTGCCTTCTTGGCTGCTCATTGTTCCAGAAGCTCTCCTCTAGTGGAGGTGGGTTTCCCTGTCTGTGCTGTTCTCATCAGCATCCACCAGGATTTTTATTTGTCCTAGCTTTTAAAATATATAACTTTTAAATTGTATTCACCACCTTCCTGCCCTCAACTATCTCTTTTCTCTGCAACACTTGGCAGCAATAATTTTTGTGTTGAAATACCCACTGCCTCAAATTTGTCTCCACTTTCTCTTAAAGGTACGAAGTGAGGCTTTCCTGCTCATTGCTTAGCATAAAGAGATCTGCTCAAGTTACCAGTGATCTTCTGTTCTCAGCCTAGCTCCTGCCTGAGCCTCCAGGAACATTTAACACAACAGGGCATTGCTTCCTCCCTGAGGTCTTTCCCTCCCTTGGCTTCTGACGGCTTTCTCTGTGTGCCCGTCTCTGACTGATTCTCTTTTTCCCTTGATGATTGAATGTCTTTTCTCCGACTTGTGATTCTGGAATTCCCAGGCTCCTGAGTTTGATCCTCTTGTACCTACGCATTGCCTTAGTGAGCTCATCAGGCTCTCGGTCTGACCTAACATCTATGTATCAAAGACTCTTTAACTTAGGAGCTGGAGACATGGCTCAGCAGTTAAGAGCACTGACTGCTTTTGCAGAGGACCTGGGTTTGAATCCCAGTACCCACATGGCAGCAAACAACCATTTGTAAGTCCAGTTCCAGGGGACTTAATGTCCTCTTCTGGCCTCTGTGGGCACTACACTACACAAGTGCACTTACATACATGCAGGCGTGACACTTATACACATAAAATAAAATAAATAAATAAATATAAAATAATATTTTTTAGTTTTTCAGTCAGCCTGTCCTCACATGGCCATTGGCCCTTCTGATAGACGCCCAAAACTCAGCATGTCCCAAACTAAACCCCCATCTTCCTCCAAAAGCCTGCTTACCAACATTTTCCAGCACAGTAAAGGACAGCACCATCTTCCAGAGTTTCATGCCAGAATCTCTTGTCACTTTTAACTCTGCTTTCTCCCATGCTGCAAAACCACTAAGCAAAGAAGCCTGCTGACACTACACTTACAATACATCTGTAATCCAGACTTTCCTATCCTGTGTCAAGCTGTTACCTCTTCAGAATCATTACTGTGGCCTCCTCGCAGTCTCCTTCCCTCTCCCCGGTCCCTTAGAGTTTGCTCTTGGCATAGCAATCAGAGATAACGTACAAGCTGCGGTACCTATTTCCTCTCAGCATCTTCCACCAGTCCCTTCTTGATCCCACTTGATTGAGTGAGACAGACTAGACTTATGGAGCCCTCCGGACTCCCCCTCGGCCTCTATCCACCCTTATGTCTCTCCCCTCACCTCTCTATTTCTTCCTCCACACCATGGGGCTTGTTTCAGTTTGTTCTTTCTCAAAGTCCATATACTGTCTGGTCCCTCTGCCCAAAACATTGTAACCCAGGCACCTCAAGAGTACTGACCTCTTCTGTCTCAACTCAGATATCATTTCCTCACTAAGTTTTATTGGGATCAACTATTTTATACTGCAGCTGCTGCTCACAAGTGCTCCTTCCTCCTGCCCATCGCCACCTAGCATGTGCTTTATTTATTCACTCTGGTTATTGTACATTTCCTGTATCCCCATGCCAGAAAGCAAACTTTGGTTTTTCTATTTCATTTCTATGAGAACAGAATAAGTTGGATGAGAAAAATATGTGAATGGATGAATATAAAAGTGCTGAGAGGACTGGAGAGACGGCTCAGCAGTTAAGAGCACTGGCTGCTCTTGCAGAAGACCCAGGTTCGATTCCCAGCACCCACATGGTGGCTAACAACCGTCTGTAACTCCAGTTCCCGGGAATCCAAAGCCCTTTTCTGACCTCCATGGGCATTGCATGACACAAGTGCACCTAGCTACATGCAAGCAATACATTCATACACAAAAAATATTTTTTAAATGCTCGAAATAGTGTCTGTTACCAAATGAGTGGCTAATAATCACTAGCTACCACCATCATTACCATTCTTCAGATCAGATTTTGCAGTGTAAAGATCTAAGAACTCAGCTAGCAGAGCACCTCTCGAAAGAAGACCGGGGTGAGGGAAAGCGTCAGGGAATACTTGAAGTCTAATAAAGCTTAGCCAAGACTCGTTTATTTCCAGTTGACTTTGCAGAGGCTCTTTCAGTTTTCATCCAACTGTTCTCTTGTGCCAGCCTCAAATGAATCCCTTGAACCAACTCTGGCAGGGCTCTGCTGAAATCACTGCTCTGTGCTTCTTGGGAGAACCACAGGCCTAATTTAGCCAGCAGGAAATAAAAATTAATAACCTCAAAGAAGCCTCAGCCTGTTTTTCCTATTCCCTCATTTCCAGGGTTTTTCAGTCATTAAGACCATATAGGAAAATTAAGCCCAAACCTAAGAGCTGGTAGTGGTTATTTCACCTGGACAAGGACAGACAGACTTTGCACCCCATCAGGATTTCCAACCAACAGCAGAGAACATAAATCATTTTTAATATCTTTTAGGTAGAAATGTTTACAAGGGAACCAATTTAATGTTACTTACATTTTATAGATTCTCTCTGGCTGTAATTTTTTAATTGGAGTGTACTGCAAGGGTAAACGTGGAGAAGGATTACAAGGCAAGGGCAGTCATCCCAGTGACAGATGTGGCAGCTGCCATCTCAGCGGGGACAGTGGAGGTAAGAAATGGTTGGATTCTTACCTTGAATCCATTATCTTGAAGAAGAGTCCAATCATTAGGATTTTATGATTGGTTGGATCTGTGGGATGAGCAGTGATTCATAAATAACACAGCTTGGACTGAGCTCTTAGAAGAATCAAGTGACCCCAATATGGCCTTGGGACACTGTTGGTGTTTGATGCATGTGTAATTGCCCTAAATTGTTTTGTACATAAACATGTCCATTTCTACCCCTTGTATTTTATCCCATTGTTTTGGAAATAAGAGAGATGTGTTCATTCTCAGAGTCCCCAACTGCTAATTCCTCTCTTCCCTGTTTTTTACTCTCTCTCAAAAAAAGGAGTTTTCTAAATCATTTTCCTAAAACAGAATCACTAAAATCAGCCATACCCACACCTACTCCTGAGTAAACACATACCCTTGACATGAAGGTCTTGTCTAAAAATCTTAGTGTCCATGTAATGCCACCCAGCAAGAGAAAGCAGTTCAAAGACAGAGATGATTTTAAAAAATATTTTATTATTTTTATTTTATGTGTATGAATGTAATGCCTGCATGTAGATGGGTGTAGCGCCAGCACTACAAATCACACTCGGAGGTCAGGTGAGGGGCTGAGGACTTGAAAAAGGACACATCAGTGGGTCATTCGTGTGGAGAGAATTCTCTTTATTGCCAGAACAGCCTGCTATATATATTGCTCCTCAGCCCAGTCGAAAAGTCCCAGACAAGTGGAAAAAACACCAGGGCTCCACCTCAGCTGCAGAGAAGCACAATAACAGGAACTTGTGGGTGGGTCATGTGGAACTGAGTGTTCCCGTAACTGTGGTCAACAGCCAGGGTGCAACCCAAGGTTAGCAGAGAATCGGGGGATGGGTTCCCACAGCTCCCCCTTTTATTTAATATGAATAGGCCCCTGTCTTAGGTTGTCCAGGTCGTTAGCGCATATCTTACCCATTGTGGAGGAACCTGCTCAGGCCTCACAAGTCCGCTGTCTTAGGTTGATATGCACCCCCTAGATCTTACCCGTCACTGGGTACCTATTTTTCTGTAGATTTAGCCAAATTTGTGCTGAGAGATTCTCTGCTGATAGTGTCAACAGCACCTGTCGGGTATACATATGGCTCTGAATTTGCCTCTTGCGTAAGTGGCAAAGAAGCACCAAGGCTAGAACCACAGCGCCCTGGACCAGGAGGCCTAGGGCAATGGATCCACTCCATTCCTTAAACAGTTTTCCAACTACATGGAGACCCTTTACAAAAGCCTCCCTGGACACGGGAGGAACTCTTGTTTCATTTATAGATATGATTTGTTGCGTCAGCTGACGAGTATAATTTAGAAATTGTTAATATCATGGTCCTTGCAAGAACTCATTGAGCTCCTTCACAGCTACTGAGGCATTACGTACCTTAGCAGAAGTGACACAGATATGGGTAAAGGTAGGAGAGCAGGCTAACATATGCATATCCCACAATGCATCAACTTGTTCCTGTAACAGAGCGGTTGATTTAATTTTAGGATGCCCAGCTGCCGTAAAGAATTTATCTTGCCCTGAGTATCAAGGGCCTGTGCCACCTGTCCCGATAGTTTGTCCACAGTCTCAGCCATGACAGCCATTAGAGCAAGAGCTAGTCCAGCTGCAGTGGCGGCTGCGGCAGACACAGTGACTGTTGTGATGATTGCTGTGGTGATTCCAAAATCCCTCTTCTCCCTTATGAGGCGAACCGGGTAGCTGCCCAGCACATTGACTGGCATCGGGATGATGCCCGGGACCCGTACCAGGATAGCCGAGCTCGCGGGACCCCAACAGCTTCACAGGTGGCACGTTTTCTCACTGCAGTTTAAGGTATTATTAATCTCTGAAACAGAATCATTAGTGACTAGGAAGAAGAAAGGGGGAAACACGCAAGGGTCGGAAAAGGGGGTTATATTTTTACTATGCGATGTGTTTTTAAACTGGAGGCTACCCTCAAAGGTGGCAGAGGTAGTCCAGGAAATAGTGCTATTGAAATAACGTGCTTCCCTCACTACTAGAGGGACAGCATCAATGCAGGCATAAGGTCTGCAGAGGAACATCCCTGCAAAAGTAGGGATCCCTCCCCCATCATCATAGGGTTTCTGTAATGAAAGGGGGATGCTTGTGTGGTACTATTTTTAAATGGAAGCCGAGGTCCATACCACCAGAGGGGGTAGTCTGAGGTATTAAGTCGCCAAGGCTCTTTGGTCACATAGTCAGCCTATAATATAGGGACAACAGCCTCAAATTGTAGGGGGCCAGGCCAACACTGAGGCCCCAGCAGAGGAGGTAAAGAAAGACCAGTTTAATTACGGTTTAAATTGATGGGACCCCATATTCCTTCCAGCCCAAGCACAGGAATTGGCCTGAAATTCTCCGACTGACCAATTACTGAGGACAATGCAAGGCCCTAAGAGGGAGCTACTGCTATTAAATAAAGAAATATTAAGAACCTTAGAAAAGCAGAGGGCATTGGAGAGATCAAAACTGCCTGTAATATTACCCATTTCCCAACTCACAGTTATAGCAGCCTTCCCTAATGTGTAGTTGGTACTGACCACTGTTGGCCAGACAAAACTGTCAATTTCCACTGGCATCAACTGCTCTCCTCATCCTCAGAATCTCCACCTGAGGACTCAGGGGTCCCAGAATCTTCCCCACCCTCAGCCTCCAACACTTGGAGTGACTTTTTAGATTTTTTTTCTTGGGCCCCCTCAAAAGCCACTTTACCTCGGCTAGTTGTTCTTTCATTTTTGCATTATCACTAAGGAGTGCGTCCCGTACCCGTCTCCATAAAGAAAAGGTGGCTATAGGGATGCTCTCGGGGCCCTTTTCATGTAAGACTTTTCATAAATCCTTCTTGACCTCCTCCCAATCCTGGATATTAAGACACCCCCCCCCCAGAATATATAAACCATGGACTGCTCTGTTATAAAACCTTTATAAAATCCTTAGCTGTGCGTGTCTTAATACCAGTTCCCTGTTTCTTTAGCAGTTCCAATAACTGGTCTTTTAACAGAGGAGTAGACCCTGTGGTCCCCATATCACCAATTCACCCCCTTACCTGCCAGCCGGCTCCCGGTGGTCCTTCAGCACTGTCCCTTCTTTCCCGATCTCGGTGGGACCTCCACTTGTAGCGCCAGCACTACAAATCACACTCAGAGGTTGGGCGAGGGGCTGAGGACTTGAAAAAGGACAGTCAGCGGGTCATTCGTGTGGAGAGAATTCTCTTTATTGCCAGAACAGCCTGCTATATATATCGCTCCTCAGCCCAGTCTAAAAGTCCCAGACAAGTGGAAAAAACACCAGGGCTCTGCCTCAGCTCCAGAGAAGCACAATAACAGGAACTTGTGGGTGGGTCATGTGGTACTGAGTGTTCCGGTAACTGTGGTCAACAGCCAGGGTGCAACCCAAGGTCAGCAGAGAATCGGGGGATGGGCTCCCACAGATGGGTGTATCTGTGTCTTGCAGTGCCTGAGGAGGTCAGAAGAAGGTGTCAAATCCCCTGGATCTGGAGTTATTGACAATTGTCAGCCACCATGTGGGTGCTGGTAATCAAACCCCAGTCCTCTGCAAGATCAGCCAGTGCTCTTAACTGCTGAGCCAACTCTCCAGCCCCGAAAGACAGAGATGATTTTTAAAGGGCTATGGACGGTATTTTATACTTGTAAACACTTAGGGTATGGGGAGCTCCACTTTCTGGAATGGAGTCCTCTGATGCTCAGCTGTCTACCAACAGCTTCCTGCCCAGAAGAGCAGCACCCTCATCTCAGCTGTTTGGAGAGTCTCAGAACACCATGGGAAGGAATGCATGCAGCAGTTGTCAGTGCCTGGGAGGCCCCAGACAGTGCAGTTATGGCCAGTGATCCTGTACTGCGACCCTCAGGGAGTCTTAAGGGCAGTGTTGTGGCCATGCTTGGTAGGGAGCTGTCAAAGAGCTCACTGATGTCCTCCCATTTGTCTGTTTTTTTTTCCACCTGGAACTTGCTACATAGACCAGGATTAAAGGCATATGCCACCACACCAGGCCCCATTTTCCTTTTTGAAGGAGGAAAAGGAGTGGTATTCACACTTCACGTTTAGAAGTGTTGGTAACCTAGGAATATCTGTGAAGATATGTCAGGGAAATGGCAATCACTGGTATTGTTGAGGACAGCTATGTCAGGATTCAGGGACCTGCCCTCCTCTTGGAACACGAAAAATTAAGTCTGTCTCCCAATATAGCCAAGGGAAGAGGGGACTGCGTGATGGGACAAGCTTTCGTTTTCTAGAGGTCACTGGGAAGGCCTGCTGCCCTTCACTGAAAGTAGCAGAAGCATGAGCCCAAGAAAACCACATGCCTATGGACAGTCACACACTGCTTGTTCTTGATATTTGAGGAGTGATACATGAACCTTTGAAGTGTTCCTCAATGGATAGCCACCGTCTGTTAGAAGCCCTGTCATGCGTAGACACTGGCTTCAGAATGTGAGATGGGAATGAATGACTGTGGACAGGTGGAGCATCTGTGCAGGCAAAGAGCCTCAAACAGAATGTGGAGACTTTTCCCAGTTGTGGGGCTGATTGGGACTGCCACTGACTCTTTGTGGACAAGTCATGTCTCCTCTCTATGCCTCGGATTCTTCATCTGTGAAAAGGATAAGATGATTCTCTGACCACTTCGGGTAATAATTCAGTTTCTTGTTACAGGAGAGTGGAGACTCAACTGGGAGACTATAGCTTTCAGGCCAGCAGATGAATTGTACTGAATGACCAACGAATAATCATTGTCATAGCCAAAGAATGACTGGGAATTACCTGCATACCACAAGTGTATCAGCTGGGGCCTGCTGCATAACAAGCCACCATACAACCACATTATTTTTCCTATGTCTATGGGTCAGCTGGGTGATTCTGCTCAACTCTGAGCTGGACTCAGGCAAACATGACTATGATCACTTTATGTCTGTGTTTGGTCAGCTAGCAGGTTGCAGGAGATGCAATTGTCAGTTCTCTCATACGTTCCAGCAGCCTAGCCCAAGTCTGGTGGCCATAACAGATGCCCGAGAGAGAGAAAACAATGCTCTGAAATCCTTTGTTGGCATGGAGTTTGCTAAGCTTCCATTGTCTCATGAAGATCAAGAATTACCTCTTCAGACCCCACCTGCCTGCGTTGCTCAGAGCCCAGAGTGGGGACAGTCCCTGCAACCTGCCCATGCCATTTCCTGCCATCACAGAGTATCTTTTAGAATGAGGGGTGGGCAAGTGGTTCCACTGGAACCAAAACAGCATCTCTTTTCATGTGTCCAGGAGAGCAGCAAGGAAAGTACCAAGAAAACCTCCAAGGTGCAGAAGGGGCTGACTTTCAACTTTGCACATTAAAACGGATGAACCAACATTCATGATCTCAACCCTACTTGAACTGGGGCCAGAGAATTTGAAGAAATAAAAAGGCTTGGTGTTAGATAAGTTAGTTTTTGAATAGGTATCATCCAGCCTTAGCCACCGGGAAAAAGAATGCGGTCTGGTGGCCACACTGCACAGCCAGGTAGGGGACAGGTGTGGAAGAAGCTAAGCCAGCTGGAGAATAGCTGGGTGGGGGGGTGGGGGCAGTTATTGCTACTCTTGCTCAAAAGTTTGGTCTCATTTTTTATAGCTGATCATTTTTTTCTAATTTCCCTACTTTTAAAATGTTTCCTTTCCACAACAGCCTAATTAATCAGCCGTGCTAAAGACAACAAGAGGTGAGCTGTGGGACACTTAAAAATGAACTTTATGAGACAAAAAAAATGAGTCATTATCTCTATTTCATATTTGAGGGTAAGTTCCACAGTTAATAAATGGCAGCAAGGGCCAAACTGAAATGCCTAATCGCAAGGTCATAGCTAGCTCCTTTATCCTATGATTCTTGCTTTGGGTTGTGCAGAGCCCCATAGGTGTGAGTATATGGAACAGCTGCACAGCACAGAGAGATGCAGGCAGAGTGCCCACAGCTTCCTGGCACAGGAAAAGATTTACAAGGGAGACTCAAGACAGAGATATGGATGCATGGAGGCTTTGGCTCTTCAGCACCCCCTGAAATGTCTCCTGGGGTAGGAGTACTCATTAAGAAAGCCCAGATCGAATGGATGATGGCCTACTAGACACTTCAGATTCACAGCTTCCCTTCAGAAAATAAGTGTCTAGTCTTACTATAAATTAAAAAGATACTGAGGCATACAGATACCGTGAAGTGTGATTACGGGACATTTGCTATTCAGGGCCAAGAGAAATCACAAGTGGGTCCCTAGACACGGCCTCAGGAGCTGCTGAGAAAGCATAGTTAAGCATTCTGGAAGGGAGGGTCTGTGATGTTCACCAGCTACTCAGAGGGGGGTTCTAATTCAGGCACGGCCTCATAATGATCTTGATTACCTCTTCATGCCCTATCTGCCTAGCTTTGCTCAGCGCCCAGAGAGGGGAGGAGGTTCCCTGCAAGCAGCTCATGCCATTATTTCCTGCCATCGCTGTCTACCTCTTAGAATGACGGGTGAGCAAATGGTCCCACTGGAACCAAAACAGAACATCTCCGTTCCTGTGTCCCAGAGAGCGGCAAAGGAGAGTACCAAGAACACCTCCAAGTGCTTTGAGAAGTGCTGAAGGGGTTGATTTTTAAATTTGTACATTCAAAGACAACTAATTTTCAGTTTCATTGCATCCTCCAAAATGGGCTTTATCTCAGAACAGCTTATGCATTCTATGTCCTGTGGAACACACAAGATGGGGTTTAAGGACCCCCATAGGTGTGAGTGTACAGAAGACAAAGCCCCAAGTTTGTGTCAAAAGAAATCCTCTAGTGTCACCTGGTGGCTAACTCCTGTTACTGCCTGTTTCACATCCCATTTGCACCTCATTATTAATTTCTGAATTATAATGGGATTCTCAAATTTAAAGTAGTTTTAACTCCACCTCCTTCATCTACATGTGAGTTGGTGCTCAGAGACTTTGTACTCTGTATATGTGGTGTTAATGGCAGGGCCGTGATGCCCAGTCTCAGGTCTTCTCTCTCATGGCCAAGCTTTTTCCAACTCTGTGTAGTACCTCCAAGTATGAGTTCCCTTACCCCAAGAGGTGAATGGGGGATTTTTATGTTTTTAATTGAATTTTTACAATTTTCATATGTATAATCTGATGGTCTTTAGCTCTCCTCCCCATCCCCACTTCCCCTTATTGCCCCCTCACCCAATTTAATGTACTCTATATATAACAAGGTCTATAACGTCTTAATTTGTTTCTCCAAATGTCCTTGAGTGTGGGTCCATCCATTGAAACCTGATTAACCTACCAAGAGTCCCATGCTTGAAAGAGGCTGTCCCTGCCCCTCCCAGCAGCCATCTGTTGCACAGTTGAGGAGTGTTTTTTCTTTAAGACTCAGAAAAGCAAAACTGTAAAGAAGGCTAAATTAGGAATAAATGAAATAAGGGTCCTTCATAATGTCTGGGACAGAAACCAGACAACTGAGGGTACTCGCTAGCCAGGGGAGAGAGTGATACTTGGAAATGGTCCTCTCTCAAGAAGCTTTACTGAGGAAGAACATGGAGGGAGGCTGGAGGTCAGCTGGGAAGAGTGCCCCCTGCTGTGGGGCTGAGCAGCCACCGCAGCGGGTACAGGAGCAGAGCTGGAGAAACAGGCTTCCCAGGACCCGACAGGGAAGGGCTCCAGAACCCAAGGCAGGAGAACGGCCCTCCTCCCCTCAGCAGGTGTGTGGAAGAGAAAAGTGGGAGCAGAAGTGGGTTTGTAGGTTGACTACAGGTCAGGAAAACAACTTTTTGAAGTGTCGCACTGCAAGATCTCAGTAAAATCTGAATTAACACACATCTGGCTTCAGTAACTGAATGACAACTCAAAAGGACACTGGGAGTCTAGAGCAGGGAGCTCAAACCGGCTTCAGTGACATAAATGTAAATTCTGCCATTGGATTTAAAGTTGGTTGCGCAGTACTGAAGGATAACTTGGACTAACAGCAGCCAACCACTGAGAAGTTAATGGATGCTATTCTCTATTATAGTGTGAATCAGAAACATCCCCTACAGTTTCAATTAGAAACTTTTGGATTCTAGGTTTTGGCACCATTTTGAAGCACATAGACTTTCAGACGGTGTGGCCGGATGGCCAATGAAGCAACTCTAGAGTGAAGGCAGAGATTTGGCTTGGTTTTGGTTGTCT